ACGTGTTAATAACGTGTTAATAACGTGTTAATAACGAGGGCTCCGGGCTGCCGAGGCTTTCGCGGTGAACGCGTGAGTCCGGCTAACGGAACAACCCTGACTTCAACAGGGTCTGCAGCCCCAGCTCCGCGTGGGAATGCTTCCCGTTCTCCACGGCCACCTGTGAGGGCCTCTGTGCTGGTTTGGGGAATGAGGTGCTTCCTTCTGGAAACCGGGTTCTCCTAGCTTCTGGGAACCCATTCGAGGGGGGCACTGGGTAAACCAGCTCTGGGCACTGCACTCACTAAGACAGTCTGCTCTGCTCACGTGCATCGCCAAGGGGCACGGAGCCCGGGCTGAAACCCAATACCCCCCACCCCTCTACCTCGCCCACACACACACACCTCCTCCCCTGACCCTACTCACACCACTAGAAGGCAGGGGCAGCCTTCACCCGAGAAAGAGCGAGAACATTCTCTACACACACACACACACACACACACACACACACACACACACGGGCTCACCCGTCGCCTCCGCTTCGGGAACAGCACCTGTGCCCTGGATGGGAGCTCTCTCATTCAAGGAAAACGTATTTCAAATCCTCGTTTAATGTGGCAGTTCTCACAGATAAGACAGTCCCTGCTGGCCTCAGGCCTGCTTGGGTACAAGGGCTTCTCACTGAAGAAGGTTGGCGAGGCCTGGGGAGGGGGTGTAGCGCCCGGCGAGTCCCTCAGGCCAGTCCGTTCTATGTGGAAATTATTCCCAGGGAAGTGGTCTAGAGGCTCAGAAGACCAGCCCATGGGGGAGAAGTAAACAGAGAAGCAGACTATTAGGACAAAGGCAAATTGGGGGCCTCCCCGCTGAACATGGCAGCGTCTTCGGGCTTGTCATCCATCATTTCTTTATACCGACGTTTGAAGAAGCCAAGCTATGAAGGGAAGTAAACAGAAGATCTGGGTAAGAGGGCAGGGGAGACGCTGGGAGTGAGGAAGGAGCCAGCGAGAGGGGAACCAAGCTGACTGTACGGTGTGCAGAACGCGATGTGAGCAAGCTGCACGTTCCCAGTCGCCACTGTGCTCAAGGTCAGTGGTTAGACACATCATCCAGAGCAGGAAAAGCACAGATGCTATCTGTGGTCAGGCAGGCCTGGGCACGTAACCTGGCCTCATTTCTGTCTTGCTGTAGCCACTCCGTGATGCAGGCATTATTATTATTATTTCAAAAATGGGAAATAAACCCAGAGAGCTTGAGCAGCTTGCCTTGACCTTAAGCGGTAAGACAGAGCATAAATGTACCCCCAGGCCGGCCTGGCTCTGTGGTCTGCGCGCTTCCTGCTGGGCCACCCGAGTGTGGGAGGCCTTGGGTCGGCTGCGGGTGGCCCCAGGTGTGGGGAGGGGGGCTCTCACCTTGAAGAGCATGGCTGTGATGAGAGCCAGCAGCAGCAGTCCTCCCACACAGCTGCCCACGATGAGGGGCACGGGGTCATACACCTCATACTCTTCCAGCACCATCTCCATCTGATGGGGGAGCAGAAAGCATCGGCCTCTGGCTGCCCCGGCTCCTCCCGGTCTCTCCAACCTTTAACCTCCTCCCCCGCCTCCCTGGGCCGGGCTCCACAGGCTGAGCCACAGCAGCCCTCAGGGGCTTAGGGACAACTGTCCCCCCCTCCCCCCAGGGATCTTCACCCCCTCCCTCCAGCCTTGTGAGACCCCACCCAGCACACGGATTTAGCGTCAGAAGCTGCTCACCAACCTGGCTGCTGCCTAGCACACAGTCACTACCTGGGCTCTCAGAGATGCCTCCTGGCCCGGGAGCTGGGCATACACAGATCTGTCGAACGTGATTTCTGCCACACTCACGACCGATACCTTCTTCTGCAGAGTCTGCAAAAGGGCAGGAGAGCTGGTAGGGCACGTCACAGCGGAACCTCCGGCAGGCGGCAGCGGAGCAGTCCTAGGGGCAGGAGAGCAATGAAGTTAAGGAGGGCCTTAACTTAGGAACCACAAGTCGAGAAAAAGTGTCAGATTTGGGGTGAGGAACAGGTTAACAATTATAGGACATATACAGGATGTGCAAAAAATGTGTATATACTTTCACAGTTGATAGTTCAACTTTGAAAATGAACTGTATTTTAATAAACACTGCCCTCATACATTTTGGGGGTTACCCTATAGATAGCTCTGCAACCTAGCTCTGCATGTCCCTGTGTGCCCCGATGAGCTGCTGGTCCTGTAGGGGAGCCAGGGCCTTGATCACGAGCACAAGACTCCTTGGAATCTGAGTCTGGAAGTCAGATTGCTGGGGAGGTTCCATCTCTGACACACAAGAGAGATTCTAGCGAGAGAGAAACAGCCACAGAAAGATCAGAACGTCACTGGCGAGAGGGTGCCAGGCACCGTGGATTTAGCGTCAGAAGCTGCTCACCAACCTGGCTGCTGCCTAGCACACAGTCACTACCTGGGCTCTCAGAGATGCCTCCTGGCCCGGGAGCTGGGCATACACAGATCTGTCGAACGTGATTTCTGCCACACTCACGACCGATACCTTCTTCTGCAGAGTCTGCAAAAGGGCAGGAGAGCTGGTAGCTAGCTCTGGGGAAAGCTCCGCGTCAGGGAAATGCCCTCGCTCTCCACTGAGGCAGGGCACAGACATTCAGGGCCCAGCAGAGGCGGGGGGTGGGGGAAGTCGAGAAAAAGTGTCAGATTTGGGGTGAGGAACAGGTTAACAATTATAGGACATATACAGGATGTGCAAAAAATGTGTATATACTTTCACAGTTGATAGTTCAACTTTGAAAATGAACTGTATTTTAATAAACACTGCCCTCATACATTTTGGGGGTTACCCTATAGATAGCTCTGCAACCTAGCTCTGCATGTCCCTGTGTGCCCCGATGAGCTGCTGGTCCTGTAGGGGAGCCAGGGCCTTGCTCACCAGCACAAGACTCCTTGGAATCTGAGTCTGGAAGTCAGATTGCTGGGGAGGTTCCATCTCTGACACACAAGAGAGATTCTAGCGAGAGAGAAACAGCCACAGAAAGATCAGAACGTCACTGGCGAGAGGGTGCCAGGCACCGTGGGCTCAGCCCTGCGCACGGAGGCGAGCCAGGCAGGCACCTGTGAGGAGGCCACCGCGGCCACGTCCCACACAGCC